TTATTCGACCCTTTGTTCTAAGCTCCCTCAAAGATCAGGGTCTTAACTCCAAAGACTTCAGCAATTTGGCACCTGAGTGACTCCACAAGGCGCCCCGTACCGAGATCCGAAGGAAGAAGGGAAATCATTTAGCATTTGAGAGGGGTGCTTAACAAAAACAGACACAACGAACTTCTACGGCCAAAACTGTCTTCCAAGTACCTGAAACTCTATTTTAAACTGTCCAGCATTTTCTGAAATCACCCCAATTACTGAGAAATGAATGCCATTAACCAATAAAAAGTCGAGTAGGAACTTTGTCTTTCCTTTTCAACTCTCTCATCTGTTCTAGATTTTATGTAGGACACAGAACAAGTTTTTTTTTTTTAAATAGCACCATCAATAAGACCATCTACAAGTATCCGAAGGGTATAAAATAGGAAGAGCCTTACATAAAGACATTGGGAGGCCATTAGGTAAGCCCACGCCGGGTCCCATTCTCCCCGCCAGCCGCCCTCCCCTGAGCCCTCGATGGCAGCGAGGGGCCGGCCACTCGGTCACTTAATCTCGCAGCTTGGCCCCGGCGACCTCTGGGGACCTTCCACCTCCAAGCCTGCGTTTCTATGAAATGGGCCCATCCGCGGGAGAATTCACTGACCACGGACCAACGCCCCCGAAAAGTGCCCAAACTTCGTGTGCCCGGCCCCGAGACGCTTCGGACCGCCTGGGCCCCCCCCCCCCCAGCACCGTCGGCCCGCGCTCGGGGAGCCGCTGTCACGCCTGCGGCCAGCGCTGAGCCAGCCTTCAATGCTTCGCTCGCCCGCAGGAAGAAGAGCCGGGGGTCCCCGGGGGCCGCAGAGCGCCCCGCGGCGCGGCTCGGGCGCTTCCGCCCCCAGCCCCGGCCCGGCCCCCCGGGCAACTTTCCCCGGCCGGGCCCCCGCCCTCCGGCCGTCTGGCCGCCCGGCCGCCCGTCCCAACTAAGTTCCGGGGCGGCCGGAGCGGGGCAACAGGTGGGCGGCGGCCGCGGCGGGGCCCGGGCTGGGCTCCCCCCCTCCCCCCCGGGGTGGCTCCGGACGGGGGCGCCCGCTCCCTTACCTCCGCCATGTTGGCCGCACTGACGGGTCACATCTCCGCGGCGGCGGCGGCGGCGGGCGGGGGGGGCTGCGGCCGGAACCCGGATGTGAATCGGCCCGGGGCTCGGGGGGCCGGCCCAGCCAGGCGGCGGCTCGCGCTGCGACGACGCTGCTGCTGCCGCTGCCGCCCGGGCTGCCCCAGGCTGCTGCCGCGGCCCCGCTGAGCGCGCGCACGAGCCGCCCCCCCCTCCCGGGCGCGCGCGCTCCGGCCGTCCCCCCCTTCCCGGATGGGCGCGAGAGCGAGCCCACGGCGGGGGGGAGGGGAGGACAGGAGGCGGGGCGCGGGAGCGCGCGGGGCCCGGGCGGCTCCACCCCGAGAAGCCCAGGCCCAGAGGGCGCCAGCGCGAGAGTCTGCGGAGGGGGGCGCACATAAATGGGGCGCCGACGGGGTCTCCCCTCTCTGGCCCCCCGGGGCCCAGCCCGGCGCAGAGACCCCGGGGGGGGGAGGGTGTGGAGGAGAATGCCGTGCCCCTCCCCCCAGGCCCGGGGAGGATCAGAAGCTCGGTGCTCTGAGCCCACACGCCGGAGAGGCCTCTCCGGCTCCGGGGGCCGCAGTCTTACTGTCACCCCCGATCTATTAGTCAATAAAGTAACATCGCCCCTCCCCCCACAACTATCGCACCCAAGGAGAATCACAGCAGCACATTTCCTTGAATATTCTGGATTCAATGATTCCATTTCTGGACGGCCTCTGCCTCTAAACAATCACATTGCATCCCCCCCCCACCTCAAACGTCAATCCATCAGGGAGCTCATTCGGGCGGATGGATGACGCCACTCAGTAGGGCCCATCACAGCGGCCCCCCCCCACCGTCTCCTCTACAGTGGACCCCCCTCTTCGAGCTGCAGGGAAAGCAAAGGACTTGGTGCCCCAGTTGGTTTTATGCATCTTTTGATCCAAATGAAAAAAATTGTCACTTGATTGTCTAATCAAGTGACATCTTTACAAAAGACGCGAATACACGGAAAGAGGGTGGCTACGTGCACAAGGCAGAGAGGCCACTGCGCCCGCGGCCGCGGCCACATCACATAAGGACAAAATGGAGGACGGTGGGGGGTCCCGCACAGTATTCTAAGGCATAGGGCAAATGCAAACATCAGCAATAGTCCACCTGATGTTACACTTTCCAGATTTATTAAAATGATGCTTAAGATACAGTTGCCAGAGAATGCGGACTATGGTAAAACGCACAAAATGAAAAGAAAAAAAGGGTTTTGTGACTAAAATTCCACAAGAATCACTGCACACAATTTCAAATAATTATTTAGGACAGATTTAGAAATTATGTTAAATTTTTAGCACTAATCCTGCAAATCACTGGAAAATCCGTAGATGAGGATACAAGAAGACTTTTTTGGAGGTCTACTTCTGCAGTTAAAACGCCCTTTGCTAGCAACAACTTTCATTAAAAACAGCAAAACTGAGGAAATGATGTAAAAATGACACCTTGACCTAAATTAAATGGCAAACTTAAAACTCAACTAAAAAGAAACCAACACATTTTAGCAAACTGTTCTCACTTGAGATGTTAAAAATCAGAGCAAATATTTAAATATGCCCAAGAGTTACAACAACACACAGCAGGTATTGAAGTACGCACACAACAAAATATACCTATTTTGGTGAATACTCTCAACTGGTTTGCGATTGGAGAAATTACTTCTCCAAAGCACCGAGGAAACATAGTATTGTTACGATAAAGATAATATCGGTGCCTCTTTGGGACACATCATTTGTTACAAATCCGGTTCAGACTGTGTCGCTGCCCAGCTGAAATGTTTCTGAAACCTCAGTCTCATTTTAGCCCGCGTTCAGCATATCTAATTTCCCTCCAAAATGAATGAGCTTTAAATTGTATCATCTGTGGATATCCACTTAGAAATGACATTCTCCATGGCAAATAGCTAAAAATGTCTGGATTTTTTAAAAATGGAGGGCGGTGTAGACGCAGAACATATGTCAAACTGCCACACAGTGGCTTAGAAAACCACAGATTAACATTATCTACGCTGGAGTGCATTTTTGTTCATTTTACTCAAGATTTTCCAGACTTGTTTTAAGCTCCTTCTGGAGGCCCTCTAGCGTCAAGGCCCAAGAACTGCCTCCCGGTCACCAAGACTTGGCTGTGACACCGGCCCGGTCATTTAGGCTCTAGACGAATGCCCAGGAAAATCGAGAGAGGCCTTCCTTCGCCAGGAGAATGTTAACAATAGTTCCGCTTCGCATTCTGCGGATGCCCATCTGGGCAGGCTGACCGAGAAGCTGAACGCCCCACGAAGACTCCCGCCGTCTCCACCCCGAACCCCCGCAGTTCCACGTGGGGCTGGGGGGGCCGTCTAGCAACCCACCCCCATCTCTCGGGGGGCTCCGACCGCCTGGAGCTGACGCGCGTCTGCAGCCTCCCGGGAGAGGCCGGGAACCGCTCCCACCTGGGGGCTAGGTCTGGAGGATCGGGGGGGCACGGAGAGCCCCTTAACACGGGGTACCGCTGCTCGGCTGCCGCAGGCCTGTCCGCACCCTCGTTTCCCGCACACTATTTACCGATGCACCCCCTGAACGAGGTCATGCGCGTCCCGGCCCCACTCACACAATGCAAGGCACAAGCGGGACGTCCGCGCTAATCGAGGAACCCGCTGTCCCCCCCCCGACCCCCCCCAGCGGCCTACCAGCATCACTTCCGGCTTGTCGGGGTTGAACCTCAGCCAGTTGGTTCTTAACCACGCCCGAAATTCAGCCAGGCACTGGGAGAAGCGGGCCACCACACCATCTGCGGGGAGAGGAGACGGAGTGAGGAGGGTCTCGGGCCTGCGCCCCCCTCCGGAGCCCCGGCCCTCCCCGCCACTTACGGGCTGGGCCTGCGCGCCGGGCGCCTCCCGGGACGCGGGGGTAGCCCCGGGCTCGGCCGCACGGCCCCTCCAGAGCTCCGCTCCCGCGGCTCCCGCCCCTCCCCCTCCTCCCCGCTCTTATGGCTCCCCTCCCTCCTTCCTTCCTCTTCCCTTCCGCGGCCCCGCAAGCTTCCGGCCTGCCCCCCTCCCCGAGCCCCGCTCCCCTCCCCTTCCCTTCCTCACCCCGGGGCGCCCCCCCCCGTCGTGGTCCTCTCGCCAGGAAAGGGGCGGGGCCGAATCGCCCGGCGCCGGAGTGGGCGGGGCAGGGCGGGGGCGCGGACTGCGCGGCGCCGCGGACGGGCGGGGCGGGGGCGCGCGGCCCCACCCGAACTGGCTTGAGGCGCAAGAGGCCCAAGGCAGCCCGAGGCGCGCGCGCAGCTGCGGGGGGGGGGGTGGAGAGAAAGCGCGCTCGCGCGCCGCGGCCGCGGCCCAGACGTGGGTGACAGGTCTGGTGGCGTGCACAGGGGTGGGGGAGGGAGAGAGCCGGGAGCGCGCATGCGCGTTCGCTCAGCCGTCACTCGGCGGCCCCGGAGCCGGGACCGGGCGGGGCCCCTCTAGGCGGGCGGGGCCGGGAAGCGGGGCCGGTCCCGGGCGGGGGTGCGGCCCCGCTCCGTCCTCGCACCCCGGAAGCGGAGAGGGGGCTGGGGTCCCGGGGCGGCCGGGAGAGGGGTGGGGAGGGGGCCCGGACGCCGCACTTACAGCCGCCGCCGCCGCCTGAAGGAGCCCCATCCATCCGCCTGCAGCCCCGGACGCTCGCCGCCTGGGAGGGGCCTGGCGCCCGGGCCGCCCGCCTCCCGCCCGCCGTGGCCCGGAGCTTCCTCCGCCTCCGCCAACCGCGGGCCCTGCCCTCCGCCTGCGCCCTCCTCCCGGGCGCGGCGCGGCTGCCGCAGCCAACCGCGCGGCCGCTCGTGGGGCCCGGACGGGCGGCCGGCGTCGGCGTCGGCGTCGCCATGGCGCCGGGGCCAAAAGCGCGCCCGCGCCCGGACCGGCCCGGCTCCCGACCCCGACCTCGGCCCCCGCGGAGCCCCCGGAGCCCCCGCCGCCGCCGCCATGCCCAGGCCGCTCAGCGCCCTCCCGTAAGTCCCGGCCCGCGCTTGCATACCGCCGGACGGCCTCCCCGGCCGGGAGCGTCCCTACCGCTCTCACGGGCTTGTCACAGCGTTTGAGAAGGAGGGGGGAGGTGAAATGACCGAGGCACCAACGCGCCGGGGTGCGAAGGACAGCGAGCGAGCCGGGGGTCCTCGGGTCCGGGAGCTCCCGGGAGAGGAGCCTGCAAACGGCCAGAGCCCGGCCGCCGGGGGCAGGGACCTGGTTCTGATCCCCGCCCCACCGGCTGCGTGACCTTGGCCACCCCAGTGCCTTTTCTGTCTCCCCGGGCCTCATTTGCCTCATCTCCGAGTGGAGAGGTTGGATTGTAGATGTCAGTGACCAGTCAGTCAACATTTGCCAAGTATTTTTAAGTCCGACCCTGTGTGAATGGGACCCTTCCAGAAGCTCACGTTCTCGTGGGAGGGACAGTATGATTCTGTACAAGTCCCTTCCTGCTAGGAGTCTGTGTTGGGGGAATCATAGGTTTATTTCTACCCAGAAGGAACCTCAAAGGCCACTTGACAGATGGGGTACATTAAGTGACTTGTCCGTGGTCACACAGCTAAAGCCAGAGGCTGCACTTGGACATAATATCGTGGGCCTAGATTTATAATCTAGAGACCTCAGAGGCCATCTAATGCACCCCCTCTCACCTTTCAGATCAGTAAACTGAGACCCACGTAAGTGCCTTGCCCAAGGACACCCAGATTGTAAACATCGGAAACTGCGTGTGAACCCATTTCACAGGTTTTCTTGCCTCCAAGAGCAATCACTTTCCTTCAGTTGCTGGATTTTATGAACAGTAAGTTTCCTTCTTGGAGAAAGAAATGGCTGAGAAAACCCCAAATGGGTCCTTAAAGTCCAGAAGGGCCAAAGGGAGAACTTTCCTTCTGGGTCTATAGTCATAGGTTGAGTGGCTGTGACCTTGGGCACCAGTACCCACTCTCTCAGCTTCAACTTCCTCCTCTATAAAGTGAGGAGGTTAAACTAGATGATCTTCAAAGGGGCCAAAAGTGTGAGCCAGTACTTTGGTTAGAGGATTCTTGCTTGCCCTTTTATGCATCTTGACCTCAGTGCGAAATGTTGTAGATACAAAGGCAAAAATAGAACTATAAATTTCCCTCTAAGGAGCATGTAAGGGAACGGGTGAGATGCAACATGGATGTGAGTATAGTAAAAGATAGGAAGCAATGTGAGCAAAGGAGAAATCCGATAAGGAGCTCTAGAAACACTGCATGAGGGATACAAATAGAAAAAAAAGAAGTCCATGCTTACAAGGAGGACAGGGGAATAAGGAAATGAGCATTTAGTAAGCTCCTACTATGTTCCAGGCACTGTGCTAAGCGCTTTACAAATATAAATTTAACTCACATTGTACTGGGGAGGCAAGGGTCGTAGAAGGTTCAGCAGAAAAAAACTGAGAAAATTATGATGCTATCAAGTGACATCAAGGGAAAGCTAGAGGAGGGCTGGGTTTGGGGGAAAGAGAAAGGAAGAGTGCCAGGAGGGCTTCCAGGATGAAATTTAGATATGTGGGATTAGAGTGCAAGAGCAATGCTAGATATACGACTTTGGAGATTTGGGTGATGATTGAGCCCAAGGGAGCCAAGGAGATTATCTGGGGAGAGAGGAGGGAAGACAGAATATGGTCCTGAGTCAGCAGAGGAAGCTGAGAAGGCAGGTTAGGCAGGCCAGTAGGTTGTTGTCCTTGGTACCAAAGAACTAGGAGAAAGTGCTGCCATGGAAATGGAAGCACTGTGGAGGGTGGGGTGGAGCGGGGTGAGAGAGAGAGAGAGAGAAAGAGAGAGTTCAAAGCTGAGGGTGGGGGGAGTGTTGGAGAGAAGGATTAACAAAGGGCCATCAGACTTGATCAGTTAGATCCCTGGTGAAGCTTTGAGAGAGAGCAGTTTTCAGAATAGCTTTGGGGCTCTGTAGCAGGATTGTTAGGGAGTGGAGGGGCTCTGCCTTGCCTCATGTCAAACCATGGGGAGGGAGGGTGTACAAAAGCTTGAGGGGCTCTTGGTGTCCCAGTGTTTGTTTGGTTTTGCTTTTAACAGGAAAACCTGCTCTTGTTTTGTAGTTTGTTGGTGGGGAAGGAGGGGAGGGAGTGGTAGATGGAGAAAGAAGAGGGGAGAGAGGGATAGGTCTTTGGGTCCTGAGAAAATGGGAGGCATGGCCCCAAAGGAAGGAGGAAGGGACCTCCTCCTCTGTGACTGGGTCAGAACAAGAGGGGCTGAGAGTTTGGGAAAAGCCTCCCTTGGGCTGTTGAGCTGGGTCTTTGAGGAATGAATAGAATTTCAGGAGGTGGGGAAAATGTATGTCCTTGCTGAACCCACCATCTTTCCAGCTTGGAAGTAGAACAGCTGAGACCATGTTCTGGCACAGTTCTGGCTATAGGGGGCATTTATTAAACACCTGGTGCTTGCTAGGTGCTGAAGGTGAAAGAAAAGGGAATAGGCCCTGCTCTAAGGGAGTTTACATTCTATTATGGGGGGGAACTACTGAACATTGACCCAGACAAGTGAATCGAGGGATCACTAGAAAAGGCAGTGGGGGATCAGACCAGGCTGCTTCCAGGCTGGGGCACTTGTGAGCTTTGAGGGGAGCTAGGGCTTCTGAAAGATAAAGATTAGGAGCAGGGGAGCCAGACAGCCTGGCAATGAAAGGCACGGGTTATACTGGGGACCAGTAAGACCACTTTGTCTATTTAAATGGCTATTTAAATGACAAATAGGGGAATTTGTATAATGTCCTCGAGGCAGAGGGGAGCCTAGGAGTGGTTAGACCTGTTGGGACGTTTAGAGCCCTTCTCAATCCACTCGGGCCTACCTTTCCAGGTTAATTACACATCACTCCTCTTGGAGCCATGTGTATTCCCAGCTTTTCTCTCCTAATGCCCCCCACTCTTGAAATCCCTTCACACAGCCACTTCCCCATGTCCTGTATCCCTGCCTCCATCATCCACTGCTAATGCTTTCCTTTTAAGATTACCTTGCATTTATACTTTAGAAATCTTGCGTGCATAATTTTGTCATGGCCTTTGTTAGAATATGAGCTCCTTTGGGGGCAGAGACAAGCTTTTGTCCTTTTTTGTATCCCTTGTGTTTAATGAAGTGCCTGACTGCTAGTGGGTGATTAATAAATGCTTGTGCACCGGCTGATGGTACTCCATTTAGTGTCTGGCCTGTTATCTTTGAACAGGTATCTACTTCCTCTCCTCCTTGAGGGCACGGACTGAAATTATGTTGGATACTCCGGAACCTTGCCCATGATAGACATGTAATACATGCTTGCTGGTTGAGTGTGCTTTAGCAGTATAATTTTGGCAGCTGTGTGAAGGATATATTAGCGAGGGGAGAGAGCGGGTTCGGGGTGTCTAATTACAAAGTTATTTCAGTAGCCCAGGTGAGCAGCAGTGAGGCCTTGAACTAGGGGAGTGGCCATGGGAAGTGGAGAGAAGGGGACAGGCCCAGAAAGGTTACTGATCTGATATTGAGGGTGAAGGAGAGGGAAGAGTGGAGGATGGCCGAAAGAGTTGTGGTGCTCTTGGCCAGGATAGATAAGCTAGGTAGAAGGTAGTGTTTGGGGAGAAAAACTGAGTTAATATCGAGGTTGAGATGCCTGTGAGAATTCCAGTAGGAAAAGTCCAACAAGCGATTGATGATTTGGGACAAGAGCCCAGGGAAGAGAACATAAAGATCTGGGAGTCACCCGTATAGTGATGATAATGGAACCCATGAAAACTAATGAGCTCTCCAAGAGAGCTTGTGTGGAAATCAGAGAGCCCCAGAGCTTGCCCACATGCAGATGGCAGAACGGGAGTGATGATGACCCAGCAAGAAAACTGAGAAATGGTCAGAGCCCAGAGAGAGGAGAGGGAAGGGAACAAGGATTTGTGGAGAGCCTACTGTGTGCCAGCACTGTGCTAAGCCACTTAAAATAGACTCCCATGTGGTCCTCACAACAACCCTGGGAGGGAGGTGCTAATGTGACCCCCATTTTACAGTGAAGGAAACTGAGGAAACATCGGTGGAATGACTTGCTCAGGGTTATATAGAGGGAGTCTGAAGCTGGAGTTGAACTTGGGACCATGCCACCTGACTACAATGTAACCAAAACCTAGGGCAGCAAGTGTCCAGAAGAAAGGGGTGGTCAACAGGGTCATTCTGCAGAGGGTAAGAGCAGGACTAAGGAGGCCAGCAGATTTGGCAGTTTAGAAAGCTTCGGCAACCATGGCAAAAGCAGTTTGTTAAGTGATAAGATTGAAAGCCAGAGAAGTGAGTGAGAGGCACAGAAGTGATGAGTGTAGACATCTTTTTAAAAGGAATTTGGCTGTGAAAGAGAAAGTGGATTTTGGAGATAGTTTGGCTGGGTTATACTGTTTAGTGAAGGTTTTTTAAGGATGGAGGGAGACTTGGGGCATGCCTGTGGTTGGTAGAGTAGGGAAGGAGCCCTTACAAAGGAAAAGAATGAACACTGCAGAGGGAGAATGATTGTGGGGGCAAGCTGCTGGAAGGAATGGGATCTAGGGTACCAAGAGAGGGCTTGGCCTTGGTGAGAAGGGCGGCTTCATCAGAGATGCACGATTAGGCTGTAAACGTAGCTTGGTCATGGGCTCAAATCGTAGATAAAGGAGTTTGGCATTATGGAGACATTTCATGGAGTTTGATCAACTGAGTGACACCAGATTAATGAATAAAGAAACATTAATTTGACAGTGTTGTGATGGATGGCTTGGAGGAGGACGAGATCAAAGAGGGCAGAGATCAGTTAGGCGTCTATTGTAACAGTCCAGTTGGCAGATAATGAGGACCTGGGTCAATCAACAAACAGTTAATAGGTGTCTCAGGTAGTAACCATGAAATTGGAAGAGGGTAGAAATTTGAAAAATGTGGCTGAGAGGGAGGGAGGGGGAGGGAGACAGAGAGAGAGAGAGAGAGAGAGAAGAGAGAGAGAGAGAGAGAGAGAGAGAGAGAGAGAGAGAGAGAGAGAGAGAAGAGGGAAGAGAAGAGGAGTCACGTAACACAAATTGTAGCAGGATTGCCTGAGATTCGGTCTAGAAAGTAGTTAACTACCTTAATTAAAAGTAACTTTTGGAAGAAATTCAATTGTCCACTTGGAAATAAACTTGATCATTTGTCTGTTCATGGCCTTCAGTGTCTCCTATCGGCTTACTACTTCTGGAAAATAAAGAGTCAACATGTTTAATGTCATTCTACTTTCGTGCCAACAGTTAGCGCACCCGAGCTCAGGAATTCTGGAAACAAAAATTAGATGTGTAAAAGGAAGAACTCTAAAATGTCTGAATTCCTTGCTTTGATCATCTCATTTGAAAAGATATTTTTAAAATTCTGTAGAACAAAGTGGGCAGCTGGGTGGCACAGTGGATAGAGTGGCGGCACTTGGAGTCAGGAAGACTCAACTTTCTAAATTCAGTACTGGCCTCAGACAAGACTTAACTTGCTGTGTGACCCTGGGCAAGTCACTTAACTCTGTTTGCCTTGGCTTCCTTATCTGTAAAATGAGCTGGAGAAGGAAATGGCAAACCACTCCAGTATCTTTGCCAGGAAAACTCCAAATGGGGTCCTGATCTGCACAGCTGAAACTACTGAATAACAACAGAAGAACGAAGCCTTGTCATCTGATACTCCCCAGATTAGAGCTCTGTCGGCCTGGACCACCTTCTTCCTTGCTAATTTGCTGTTTAACTTTTGGCTTTAATTCTGACCTGGATTATTGCAGTGGCATACACAGTACTCATGCTCTCTGTCTTTCCCTGCTTCTTCATTTCTCCCTCTCATT